GAGTGCTTTAACTACTGGACTATCCCCTGCCCATTTGTAGACATGACAGTGGGGCCGAAACACTGGTTTTGACAGTCTCCGGGAACTGAAATGAAGGCGTTAGTGGGTACATCAAATAGCCCAGGAACACTCATGATACACTTTTAACATGATGCCCTGTAAATGGGGCCGCCAAAAACAAAAGAGTTAAGTAGAACAGTGGTCGTGTTACATTCAGCGTTACCGCTGGTCAGAAGCCGGACACACACATGGGGTCCATCCTTGGTGTTCAAGGTTGTGCCCTGTGCATCCTCTGAGGGGAACTTGTTATGGAAGCTTCCCAATCACCAAGTACAGAACACGTGTTCTGATCACATGCGGGGCGGTGGGGTAGCCTAGTGGTTAAAGCGTTCGCTCGTCACGCCGAAGACCCGGGTTCGATTCCCCACATGGGTACAATGTGTGAAGCCCATTTCTGGTGTCCCCCGCCGTGATATAGCTGGAATATTGTTAAAAGCGGCGTAAAACTGAACTCATTCACTAACTCACTCATATCACATGTAAGCCTCCGCACGTCACGCTGAAGACCCGGGTTCGATTCCCAACATGGGTACAATGTGTAAAATCATACTCACTCACTCTGATCACATGACCAGATGACCAGGGGTTAAGTTACAAACACACTGTCGATCGGGATCACGTTACAGGGAATTGACAATACTGCCACCCACGATTTGCCATTGTGATCTCGGGTATTGTACGTCTACCACCCCAGGGGCGGTGGGGTATAGCCTATTGGTTAAAGCGTTCGCTCGTCACGCCGAAGATCCACATGGGTACAATATGTCCCCCGCCGTAATATTGCTGAAATATTGCTAAAAGCGGCGTAAAACTGAACTCACTCACTCTACCAAACCATGAGACGTTCATAATATCAATCACTGGTTTGTCGTGCACTGACATGACCTTTTAGAGTTTGCTGTTATAAGTCACTAAAATACGCATCCAAACACGCACACGCACACGCACGCACACGCACACGCAATCAAAAGTACACCAGCTGTTCCACTTGGCTAAAAAGCTGCAAGTAAATAAAACGATACTGGAATATATTATTCCTGATATAATAATGAACTCAGCCGCAGTATTTTCGGTACATTGCATCAAAATTCCATGAAATTATATTAATAGGTACTTTCTAACTGAATCATCAATAGACAGGGAAAAACGTGGGCACAGCTGATAGTAATTTCCCGCTTGGTTTGCGAGAAAGTACACACAGCATATGGAACAATGCCTAGCAAGAGCAGGAAATGTTCAAATTTTACATAAAGTTTCATCGCAAATATTTATTTTTTGCATCAAAATATCACCTGAATTCGATGGAGACGATGCAGGTTTAGACAAAATTCTGGAATAATCTTTAGCATCATAATAGAGGGTGTTTTTGGTTTTTTGCTTCTGCAGAATTTGGGTAAGGGAGGTAACCTCACGAGATTTCGATATCCGGAAATTCCTTTATCCGGACAAAATTGGAGAAAGAGCAAGTGTCCGGACAAGCAAGGTTCGTCTATATTGCTTAAATCAAATACGACCATCTCTCACAGAGAGATAGCGCGGGCAGGTTCACGGAATGTTTGACGTATTTGATTTCATTAATGTTGGTTTGAAGGATTTTTTAAGCCATGAGGATATTTTTTATCAATAACTCAGACACCATGTTTTCCGGACTATGCTATTGTATGGTACATATATATTATGTTCCCACATTTGGAGAAATTATAGCTGTACCAAGGATCTTCAGATTTTTGTCTTTTGTATGTGTGTGTGTGTGCGTGCGTGTGTGTGTTCTACTAGAAGGAATTTAAGAAACAGCTTATTCTTTCATAACTCTGTCGTACTTTAACATATTGGCCAAAGTAATATGAAAGTGTTGGATGCCCTACGTTTCTGTAGTATATGAATCAATGAATATTACAGGTACCGCTGTACATGAATCTGTAATTGTGACTATCTAATAAGGACACGAAGACCTTTGGTGCAAGTGATTGTTTTGCCCGTTATATTTAAAGGATAAGAGACAGTTTGATTTGTCATCGATGAGTTTTCTTATTTTTTACTTCAATCGAGAAAACCTAATGTTGACATATAATAGCACGGCTTCTACCAATATGACTCTACAAATATGGCAGTTGTGGTATATGTACCCATGTAAGGAGTGTGTCAACTCGCCTAACACTATCCACTTCTGAGGACGTGAGACTGATGGATTTTGTTGATCACATGGACCTTCGTCCTTTCCCTTGCTTTAGTCTTTCATATAAACCAAGCTTGTTGCTTCGATTGTCTATTAAACGTTTGAAAATCTGGAACTGAATACACGTGAAAAAAATCAAGATTAATCACAGACAGATGTTTATCCAGTGACTTCGTGATTATTTTCCATGATTGATATCGGAAGCAAAAAATATCTACGTTTATGAAGTGCTATATACACATCCATTACAAAATCAGTGTGTCATAATTATTTTACTTTTTCATTTTAAACAAAATTTGCCAAAGCTTTTGTTCGAAATCGATTACATTCTGTTTAAATATTATACTAATAAACAAATGACAGCTAATTTGTAAATCAGTCACAGCAAACACATATAGCATTTAATCAATTGGGTGTAATTAATGAACACACTTAGCGATACTACATCTATATTCCCCTTTTGAAGCACAGCTGTCTTTCTCGTATCGTACCGTGTCATTAAAACAAATATAAACGAATAAAATATGCTTGCTGAAGGTCACAATGACCCAGCTACACGCCATATTATTCCATCTCACAACTGCGCGAACGTCACTACTTTTTCCCCGACCCCACAAAAGTACAAAGACTGTGTTTTTTAAACTCAACGCGAGGTATTGTTGCAAAGCAGTTACCTCCCTTACACCGTGTTCACGGTTGATGCTGGGCGCAGAGTATTTTCCAAACAACAGATGGTGTGCTCTATTCAAGCCGCCGGGGTTACACCACATGACCCGACTGGGTGGGGCCGGTCGCACAACGCTACGCGACTTACCAGCAACGCCCACTTCCCCCCAGCGGCGTTCCCATGGTGACGGTCGGGGGCTGGTGCGGACTATTTTTACAGCGGAGTAATAGCTATCCAAGATTCTAGTTGCGCGTATGGATTCGAGTTACAACAATCGGATCGAACTGTTTTCCCTAAATCATTTATGAATCCGCCAAACGTGTTAGAATTGTTTTATTAATTGAGCGCAACACCATATGTTATCAATTTGGTCGAATTTAGCTTTTTTGTGCATGCCTGCATTCCACAAGCCTGAATAACAACGTTTATAAAAAAATATAATTCAATAACTCTATATTCTCGCTGAAGTAGTGATGATGGTGTCAATATTCAGACAGATACGCTTTCAAACATAGATAAAGCCTACCTATGAATAAAATATTTGATATCCTGCACTCTATTATTAATTTAGCAAGTAGAGTTACTGTTTTTTCATCACTTTTTCAAGGAACTTTATTGTATACTGCAGTTTCAGTATGTGTACCTTATGTTGGTTTTTTTTACTTCTCATCATATTCTCATGTTGTTCGCTTTACGTGGGTTGTATATCAAACTGGTGCACTGAATTGGAAATTAATCAGTGGGATAATAGATCGTCGACTGGAAGTAATATATACTATAAAGAAACGTATCGTTCTGCACAGTGAGCAGGTATAAGATAATTCTGAAACAAGATTAAACATGAGCTATGCTCTTTGTTTTCATTTAAAGCTACAGACGTTTAGTAGCCAGACGCAGCAGCAAGAAGCTGGGCCATGAATTGTAGGTATAATGTAATTTGGGGTCAAAAGTTTCAAAGTTTAAATTGCTTTTCTTTCCATTTATGATTGTCTTGGTTGTGTAATATTTTCCAAAAAGCCCACTGATACTTTTAATTTGTCTGGAATTTATTCTGAATGAATCACTCGCTTCAACGTTCTGTCTTCTTTTTAACGTCGATTTATGAATGACGTCACCTTTAAGATGGTTCATTTTTTGTGTGTTGTAAACTGAAGCGCTAAAGAAAGTACCCGACCAAGTTTAATGGCGGCTTAAAAAAATAAACCACACACGTTTTGCCAGTGGTGCTGTATTTGTTTGTGATATCATGGTCATGTTGCAGACATAGGTTTGAAGTGTTTGTTGTTGTTTTTGTGTTTGTTGTTGTTTTTATCTAGTGTAACTGTCTGCTTAAATAGAAGTGTTCAAATGTACACTTTCTATTTCCCGACAATTTCTGTGAAGGGTGAGTGAGTGAGTTATGCTGCTTTGCACACTACCCTAGTTCTTGAACGACGGGTCTGATTGATGCGGAAGGAAGCCCGAGTCGATGCAGGTCTTACACGGTTTTTACTTTGATGTGAATGAGTAGGCTGCAGACTAACAGATCAACATAATATTGGCAAATCTAGGATTCAAACCCAGTCACAGATTTCTTTACACATAAGGTACGCAACTCTGGACAGCGAACACTTAGACGTCTGTGCAACCTATATACCTTATGTGTCTTATGTGTGTAAAAAACATGTTTTACTCGAAATCTAGAACACTTAATTTGGGTCGGGTAGATTCGATGGTTTTGTTGAAAGTGTGTCGTTCTACCGAAATGGCGTTGGGGGTTTGAAAGTAATATCAACTACTGGTTTGTTTCGACCAGACTTGATCGTTTTCAGGTCTGGAGCTGTAACCTTGAAACTCAAAAGGGAGTTAACGTTGTTCTTGAAAACAAAGCAGATTATACGTTGTAAGGGGTAATGCGTATATATGTAATGCGTGCGTTTCCTTTGATCAATGTGCAGGGTTCGAACACAGACTTCGGCACCACGAGGGTTCGCATTACCCACTGTGCTAAGTAACGAGCGTATTAAGGACAATATAAACTGAGTGATACAGTAGAACAGTTTTACGTTTTCTGGATCATGTGTGTATTTATTCTATGTGTTTTTGCTTCTATTTCAGGCATGCGTCCTTACGGGCACTTTTTTCCCGACAAACACTACACGAATTACTTCCCTCCACACCTACTCACCTACAACGGAGAGACAAGTAAGTCATCTTTTTTTTAAGTACAGGATGCTAAACAACAACAAATCGAACACAATCCAAGATTCGATCATTGGAAATAGTTTAGTTCGTTTTGAATACAATGTATTTCAAGATTCCCGTGGGTGTTATGCTTTACTTGAGGACAGATTATGTTGTGTTTTTAGCCAAGACCCAAGAGAATACTTGAAACCTTAGATTCTTTTTCTGTTAGTTTATACTTTACACAATGGCAAAACTACTATTTCAGTCAAGATTTATACAAATACTTGAAACATTAAAATTGGTTTTGGACACAAAAAACAACACAGGACTTATTTTCAGTCTTCAACCAGGAAGTTGAAACCTTTTGCAGAAAGTATTTGTAGTACTTAATGGATGTATTATGTTCTTTGTATATATCACATACTTATATACCATATAGATAGTCTTTCATTGCGATTGCTATATAGCACGTGTTGCCATGTTTACATAGAGCTGTCATTCTGTATACTGTATCGATATGATTCGATTTTTATACGGTTTCTTTATTCAATGTCTCAGAAGTACCCTTGACATACAAAAATAGAGTAAGCCTCTGTTCCCTTAAGGTTTGTGATTTGTGGTTTAACGCCGCACTCAACAATAATTCAGACGACGATCTGTAGGTAATCGAGTTATACCAGACAATTCAGTGATTGCCATCACGTGCAGCGTCCTACTCGGACATAATGACTTGCATCAACAGAGTCAGCGACCACTCGCGATAATCCCGCCAGGAGCATTCTAACCCGGATTTTCACGGTTACAAAACTTGTGAAATATCGATATTGTAATCGTCTGTCTGAAATTATTAAGACCAGGATTTATGACATCCTGAAACAAATAAACAGCTCTTATTGAAGGGTCTACGGTAGGATTAGCAATAATATCTACGCAGATCAGCCATCTGCTGAAGTCTCATATGCTGGTTTTCTTGCAAGGGTGTGAATCTCGCAGCTAGTGTTGATTAGATGTGTAGATAAGTCTTACTCGGTCTTGAGGGTAGACCGCCCTAGCCCATGAAGGACCTCTTGTCTTTCTATACTCCTTGTCTAATGAGTTGTAAGCATTATAGGTTAACCAACGAACCCGCAGTTGGAACATACACACTGCTCCATCAGTTGAATAAAGCAGGTATCTGTAACCATAGGTCTGTAATCATACTTGTACCTGTAGGTCGTTATGGTCATTACAGGTGTTCCAACTCACCGCTCTACTGAATCGCAGTTGTCCTTGACCCTGCCACTTTAACCCCTTAACATGGCTCTCTACACTATACAATTGATAGAACAGTTAAATGAAAAGAAATGTGGCATCCACGTAGAATATGCGTAGCTGACAAAATTAACAGCTTCTGTCGAACCTAGGACTTTCAGCGAGCGTGCTGGACGTAGATATCTAACGTATATAAGGGATAGTGTCTGCATGTTTGGGTGTTGTATACAGAGCCCTGTGTGAAGCTCAGAACCGTGACATAAGTGTTCTTTGGTTGTTTTTTGTTGTTTTGGTATTTTTTGGTGGTGGTGTGTCGTCCTGTGTATAGAGCCCAGGTCACAAATCAGTTGCAGTTAAGCAGCCGTGGTTACGGAGGGTCTTTAAATGGGTGGCAGGGTTTGACTCCTGAGAGTTTCTAGGACTTCAGTCCTGCCCCACAACGAAGCACACGTGAAACATGTGATCTCACCTTAGGCAAGTGAGTTTGTTCCAGATTGCCTCTGGTCACTCAGCATTCAATGGGCACCCGGTGAAACAAGTCATATGACTATTAACCTTCAAGCGCCTCACAGGCAGCTTGGGTTATCTGGGGTAATAATTTCCATTATGTTTTATGCGCTTAGAGCATACCCGTGCGGCATTCAGCGTTAAATAAGTGGCCTTTATATTATAACTGATCATTATTAACAACAAAGTTCGAATACATTCTAAAATTGGCCCCATCAGACCAAGAAAGTTGTCCTTGAAGGACGTGGGTGAAGATTGTACTGAATATAGTGTCCCCCAAGCATAGGTCTCCTACTATTGCAATACCATTGAAATAGCGGTTCCCCCTTGAATAGTTGAGAACCGATTGGTCATGTGGTCACTTCCTGTAGGCTTTCTGGTCGTTGGTTTTGGTTTTATTCATTGCCAATGCTTGCAACTTTCTTGATTCACCATATTCCGTGTCCATCAATGCTTTTACTCAAAGGCAGTGACAATGCACTTTTCATTATATATTTGATTTTTAGAGGCACAAAACTCGAAAGTTCTTATCTTTGAAAATCTAAAATTGCATGTGTTCAATTAGGCCAAGGAAATTATCCAGAAGGCATGCCAAAGAAAACAAAATCGAGTTTAATATCTGGTTACTGTATTTCCAGATTAGAGACGCGCGTCAGTTTGAAAGGGAACGGAAATTTGAGACTTTGACTTTCTCTTTCATCCTGTAGAAATCCTCCTATCGCATCAATCCAGACGGATCCATCCTCGTTTATCAAGTGGATTACGTCTTACGAGTTCTACTTGATACATACCATAAACCCGCTCGTCAATACAGCGTCGTCCTGGACGTGACGTCATAATGTCCATTACATCTATCTCTAACTAGTTAGTGAATGAAGCCTTGGTGTATACCATAATAGTATGGTGGTATATTACCCTGCATGGCCGAGGATGTACCTGTCCTGACAAGTGGTTTCCGGTGTGTGGCCCTGTGCATAGAGCCCAGGTCACAAATCAGTTGTAACGGAGAGTCCTTGGATGGGTGACCATGTTAGGCAGCTTGACTCCTGACAGTTTCTTCGACTTCTGTCCTGCCCCACAACGAAGCACACAATGTAGTCTCACCTTAGGCAAATGTGTTTCTTAAAAATTGCATCTGTTCCCCCAACGGTACCCGGTGTACCCGGTGGGATGAGTCAAATGACTATTAACCTTCTAGCGCCTTGAGTTATCCGGGGTAACAGCTTTCCCTGACTGTTCATACTTAACAAGATTGTGCGCTTTGAGCATTCTTATGTTTGGAAATAGCGCCGTAGAAATGCGCTATTAATATAGAGATAAACGGTAGATAAATTTGTAGACTCACTGGTTACTGTCACCACAATTATATCAGTTATACTCTTACTACTCATTCAAACATCTATCATAATGGTAGCTAGGAACATCGATCCAATCCAGCCGTGAACCCAACCAACCTGAAATATGTCCAACCCTTTCCATTTTGTCATTTTGATACCTTCATAAAAATATGCAATTGAGAGAGGCATGTGTTCAATCTGTGACAGTCGCTATATATGTATATACCAGGTGTGAAGAAAAGTACAAGCTGTTGTGTTTAATTCAATATAAAACATGTGCACAGTTTGATATCGGATGTATACAGTCGAAAACAAACAATGACGGATTTCATCAGTGGAACTAGAGCTCCACACGTATTAAGGAGTTCAGGGACATGTGTGAAGTCTACATTATTTCCACTGTGTTTGGGTCAGAGAGACACCACGGACACTGGTCATGCGAGGTTAAAGGTGGAGTCACACGTCAGAGAGACACCACGGACACTGGTCATGTGATGTTAAAGGTGGAGTCACACGTCAGAGAGACACCACGGACACTGGTCATGTGATGTTAAAGGTGGAGTCACACGTCAGAGAGACACCACGGACACTGGTCATGTGATGTTAAAGGTGGAAGTCACACGTCAGAGAGACACCACGGACACTGGTCATGTGATGTTAAAGGTGAAGTCACACGTCAGAGAGACACCACGGACACTGGTCATGTGATGTTAAAGGTGGAGACACACGTCAGAGAGACACCACGGACACTGGTCATGTGATGTTAAAGGTGGAGACACACGTCAGAGAGACACCACGGACACTGGTCATTCGAGGTTAAAGGTGAAGTCACACGTCAGTGAGACGCCACGGACACTGACCATGCGAGGTTAAAGGTGGAGTCACACGTCAGAGAGACACCACGGACACTGGTAATGCGAGGTTAAAGGTGGAGTCACACGTCAGAGAGACACCACGGACACTGGTCATGTGATGTTAAGGTGAAGTCACACGTCAGAGAGACACCACGGACACTGGTCATGTGATGTTAAAGGTGAAGTCACACGTCAGAGAGACACCATGGACACTGGTCATGCGAGGTTAAAGGTGGAGTCACATCGTCAGAGAGACACCACGGACACTGGTCATGTGATGTTAAAGGTGGAGTCACATCACGTCAGAGAGACACCACGGACACTGGTCAATCGAGGTTAAAGGTGGAGTCACACGTCAGAGAGACACCACGACACTGGTCGCGAGGTTAAAGGTGGAGTCACACGTCAGAGGGACACCACGGACACTGGTCATGCGAGGTTAAAGGTGGAGTCACATCGTCAGGAGACACCACGGACACTGGTCATGGATGTTAAAGGTGGAGAGACACTTCCAGGAGACACCACGGACACTGGTCATGTGGATGTTAAAGGTGGAGACACACGTCAGAGAGACACCACGGACACTGGTCGGTGAGGTTAAAGGTGAAGTCACACGTCAGAGAGACACCACGGACACTGGTCATGCGAGGTTAAAGGTGGAGTCACACGTCAGAGACACCACGGACACTGGTCATGCGATGTTAAAGGTGAAGTCACACGTCAGAGAGACACCACGGACACTGGTCATGTGATGTTAAAGGGAGACACATCGTCAGAGAGACACCACGGACACTGGTCATGATGTTAAAGGTGAAGTCACATCGTCAGAGAGACACCACGGACACTGGTCATGTGATGTTAAAGGTGGAGACACACGTCAGAGAGACACCACGGACACTGGTCATGTGATGTTAAAGGTGGAGACACACGTCAGAGAGACACCACGGACACTGGTCATTCGAGGTTAAAGGTGAAGTCACACGTCAGTGAGACGCCACGGACACTGACCATGCGAGGTTAAAGGTGGAGTCACACGTCAGAGAGACACCACGGACACTGGTCATGTGAT